CACCATGGTAAATTGCCAGCATTGTGGTGCTCCCCAAAATCGCAAAGGTTTGCATGCCCACGAGCTTCGTTGTGGCAACGAAAAGGCGGACAAGGAGAAAAACACTAAATTTAGAAAACTACTGCAGGCTCAACAGCGTACGTTTACTATTACCGGAGTAAAGGCATTTGTTACTTATCTGTTCAAATCAAGGCCAGGCTCAATATGCCCAACTCGAAGGCCTGCATATTTCTTCCTCTTTAGACGAATGACCCTTACAGAATTGCAGCTGGCCGAGCGGGCCCAACTGTAGCCGAACCTGGACCATCAGCTCTGCGAGTGCAAGTACCCGAAAGAACTGATGATGTTCCCGGTATGTTTAATGTTTTCTGGTGCAACCTATATGGAACCTTTTGTAATACAGACCATCTTGCCTACGCTTCGCCAATAGATGATGATTTTCTGAGTCGACAAGGGACTCCTGAACCAAATGAGCCTGAGCAACAGGCGGCAAATCCTGCCCCAGCAGAAGATATCAAGCGTACATTCCATCCCCATAGCAAGCGTCAAGTCAATTTCCAGTCCTTTGAAGCTTATGTGGCGTCCAACATGGCAGAACGACCAGTACCCACTGACCCACAGCCATGGCGACCATTTAGATCTCAGCTGGACTTCGAGGTGGCGGAATTCTGCACCCATAACATGTTGAATAGGGAGTCCAGTGGGACACTGATCTCTCTGATTCGACACTGTATTTCCAATCCAGATGACTTTACACTGGTTAACCAACATGAACTTGATGAGTTATGGGAATTAGCTTCGAATAAATGCACTGCAGTGGGTCATTTCAATACAGAATCTCCTATTCAGCTCAAATACTTTCAGTTTGAGCAAGGGGTCGTCACAATTCAATACAAAAACGAGGACACAAATTTTGATACATACACTCGGCCCCTTTGGGACTGGGGACTAAGTCTAATCCAGGATCCTAGACTTGCTCCTTGTTTTGTTTGGGACGCCGAAAAGGCCTACAAATTTAATGGGGAAAAATATGTACGCTTTTATCATGAACCTTGGACTGCAGATGCATTCTGGGCTGCACAGGTGAGTGATTTGCTCTCCTTAATAATATTCGGAGGATATCTGAGAGTATTCTAGTCAGCGTTGCCCGATAGTCCAGATGCAAAACCTCTCCTCTATGTTGTATATGCCGACAAGTCAAAGTTATCTTCTTTTGGGACTCAGAAAGGGTATTCTGTGGTTGCCAGAGTGGCAAATCTTCCGGTCGCGATTAGAAACAGTACCTGTTTTGGTGGTGGCCAGGTCGTGGGACATCAGCCTGTAGTATGTTCAATATTTATTTTTTGCCCGCAATTGCTACACTGATGATTTCAGGTAAAAGATGATCCGCAAGAGAATGGCAAGCCAGCATTTGCTAACTTCAAGAACATTGTATGGCATGCTGCAATGTATAAATTATTGGAATCTCTTGTACTTCCTTTGAAGGTGGGGAATTGGACGCCTTGCGGGGACGGAATTACTCGGTGGCTTTGGCCAGGAATTTTGATTTTAGCTGCAGATTATGAGGAGGCGTACGCTATTGTTTCAGGAACCATGGCTCAGCTCAATTAACAACATACTTTCTTAGATGTGTAATGACACTGATTCGGGGCTTACAGGCACTGTATCCATGCCCAATCTGCTTTGTCCCATGGAATGAACAGTCTGACCTTTCCACGGAACACCCGCTACGTACTGGCACGGAATCTCAACAGATTCTCAGGAATGCAAGAGCAAAAAGGACCGTTGCAGAACGAGAAAAACTTCTCCAGGACAACGGATTGCGCAATGTTGATGTATGTTACTGTTTTTTTTTGACTGCGTTGGAATAATCTAATGCTTGCTAGAACGTGTTCTGGAAAATAAATGGCTCAGACCCCCACGAGGCAATCTCTTATGACCCACTGCATGCAGACGATGGGGATTTCTGGGGCGACCATCTCTTTGGTCAGCTCAAGGCACGTGTTGAAGAGTTGGGTCGGCCTGCTATTGTCAAGATAGATGCACAGTGCGTCATAATCCAACTGCTCATTCTTTCCTTACTAACTATTTCAAGGATGGTGGCCTTTCCACGTTGGAGAAACTTAAATCACTTTGAAATAGTGATGAACACATCGTTCAATGATGGCTCAAAACATGAAGATATTGCCAAGATGATGCTTTTCGTGGCACATAATGTGCTTGTCGATGAAGCTGGTATCTTACTATTGCAAGCCATCCGAAGTTATCTTGAGTTTCGCACTTCTTTTGCTGCAGAAGTTCACACCTTGGATACCATTGCCGAGGGGTCACATGAAGTCAATACTCTCGACTCTGTGATGAAGGTTGGCTTTGATCAAGAATCAGATTGATACTAACCTGTGTTGATTCAGAAATACATCACCGCTTGTGAGGGAACAGACTACGGTGATAAAAATTGGAACTTCCCAAAATTCCACGCTCGCCGTCACGCTTTCGACGATATCGAAAAGAAGGGAGCAAGTCGAAATTTTGGAACGAAAACGAGTGAATCCATGCACGGGGCAATTCGCAACACGTACCACCGGTTAACAAATTTCAAAGACGTGACTCCGCAGGCAAGTATCCTGTTCTAAAATCATCCCGGCGGTCTCATGAAGAACCCCCATACAGCTAGTCAAACATGATCACCGTCGCACAGTTGCGACATTCATTCGGGAGCAGATTGACGCACTCAATGAAGACCCAGACAATCTCGGAGAGAGCCCGAGTGATCTGGAAACATCAACATTATCTAACATCGACATTGGGTCAAAACTCAAGCCGGTGTCGTTCTCAGCATTAGAACAAGAGATGTCCGAGGATCTCGCCTTCACACGATTCCGTGTGAAGTTTGGGGATTTCATTTCTGATTTCCTACCAGCTTTCGGTTACACCTTACCGAATGGAAAGCGGTTGAGATTTGAAGGCACAGACATGGTATGTGTTTTCTTCCTCAGCTGTGTTGGCTCCTCGGTGACACTTCACTTGCTAGATTGTGCCTTTTCAATTCCTCAAGGTTCACTACGAGTCCATGAGTGCTTGGACCTCCACAGCGGACTATCTAAGATGCAACCCCAATTTCCATGGGCACCCGCGTTATGATTGCGTCCTAGTCAAAACTGCGCAACAGCCCATTTTCGCACGACTTGTCTACCTGTTTTCTTGTACAGTGGAAAAAAAGTCGCATCCATTCGCGCTCGTCCAGCCATTGGATGCTCCCGGTGGTAATCTCAGACGGAAGGACAAGTTATTGCACTTTCATAGGGTCCACGCCAAACCCAGGAAAAGTTCGGAATTTATTTCCGTACATTCCATCATTCGCGGAGCAGTCCTGGTGCCAGACTTTGACAAACCTGGCGAGTTCATCGTGTTCGACGTTTTAGACACTGATATGTCACGTAGATTAAAGAGCTTGTACCCCCGGTATCATGAAGTGTAACAAGAATTGAATTGATTATTTCCATTACAGGTGTGAGGCTAGCCCAGTGTGCACGACACGAAAATTTGAAATTCTTCCTAAGTACGACGACAACACGAGCACAGAAAGGTACAAGCCACCGTTTAACTGCAGCAGTCGTCAAGACCGAGTAGCAGACACAGTCGAATAAAATATACCTCTTTTGCTTGCGAGCATGGGCACCTCCAGGACCGAATTTCTTGGGCCCCATCCATCTAGGATCAGCAATTAAGAGGGTCTTGTTGTAGTCGACGAAGGTTTTCTTGAGGTTCATGGTATGTGCGGCGTCGATGTATTTTTGGCGTGGTATGCGACGAGGGCCTTGGCGATGGCCTCGAGGATAGCGTACACCTGGAACGTGGGCCCTCCACCCAGCCATGGATGTCGAGGGCGGCAAGCTTGTCTTCAACGACGACGAGAATAGGCTCGTAGACTTTGAGACGCAGGATCTCGGGCTGGACGAGGTTTATGGGGAGCCATGACGACGGCGAGAGGGGACGTGATTGTTTCGCGACAAGCGTGTGAAGGTGGCCAGAGTGGTCGTTTGTCGAGGAATTGGCCACCAGATCCATCCAGAGTAAGCGAACACAGTGAGGAGGAGGGGATGGAAGAGGATCGCATTTAGCACGGATTTTGATGCCATATCATGCACGGCCTTGGCCGGATAACTGCCGTATAAGGCCGCCGGTGTCTTTTAAGGGGCTTATTATGTCATGATAAGGCGGCCGGCTTATAAGGCTATTTATATTTTTCCGACATGCTGCGCACGGACCTGTTGCACCGCTTTGTTTTGCTCCCCTCTGCTCAGCTGATCCTCTGCGCCGCTGCCAGCTGCAAGTTCTATCTAAGTCATCTGTCTTAATCGATGGAGGCGAGGTAATCTAAAGGGGATCGCACGTCCAGTACAATGGAAGGTGAGCCGAATTTGATGGATGCACATTGCATTGCACTCGCGCCTGTCGCAGTATTGGATGCATGGCAATTACATCTCTGTTGAAGACAAATGCATCCCGTGTAATTACATTCGATCTAATTTATAGTAATCCAACTTCAAGCGAGAATTGATTTACATAGCACGACGCCGCTACAACGCAATCCAGCAGCACACATCCGACGCTACCTCACCAAGTGCCAAAGTCGCGATCTGCGAGGGAGATCCGGTAGCGGGAGGCCCGGACGTGCTTCCAATAGCAAGGTTTTATTACCGAGAATGCAGCAGGCGACGCTCGTTGGACTCGCCACTCTTGTGGATGCGACCACTTTTTTTTTATTCTTCGCTGCGGTCAAATTCAGATCCCATCCGTCTTTGATAACACTTCGCTGCGTTGAATTTCACCCATTTCATTCGAGGCTCGAGGTAATTGTATCTAATGTCATAGAATCCCCCCCAGGTAAAATTATGATTGAATTGATTTTAGCTCACATAGAACGACGCCCCTGCGCCGAGATCGAATTGCAGGACAAATCTGATGCTACCCGACTAACTTCCAAAGTCTGCAACGAAGGCCCGGTAGCGGGAGGTCTGCACCTGCATTCAATTAGCTTTTAGAGATCCACTTGTTCTGTGGGAGACGCTCGTTCGATTCGAGCCCGGGCCATGAAGATCATAGATCTTTTTTTTATTTCACTGTGTGTTCAAATTCAGATCCCTTGCTGCTTGCTTCCTTTGACAGCACTTCGCCGCATTGCATTCGAGGCTCGAGGTAAGTACATTCAATTTGATTCATTCTACTCGCAAGTGAAGGTTGATGATTGGAATTGATTTCAACTCACATACTAAGTAATAGGACGGCGCCGCTGCACCGAGAAGCAATTGCAGAACAAATCCAATCCACCTGATCAAGTTCCAAAGTCAGCATGCAACGCCCGGTAGTGGGAGGTCCTCGCCTGCTTACAATCTCATATTCGTCATGACCATGCAGCAGGCGAGCTCGTTCGATTCGAGCCCGGGCCATTGGATGGAAGCTGTGACATTTTATCGCGGTGCGATCAAAATCTCGTCTTTGGCAGCACTTCGCCGCATTGAAAATTACATTCGAGGCGCAAAATAATTATATTCGATTTAATCTAGCCGCAATAAAGGTTGATGATTTGAATCGATTTACAGGTAGGAAAGCGCCGCTGCACGGAGAAGGGATTGCAGAACTGCGATGCCACCTGACCAAGTTCCCAAGTCTGCAAGAAAGGCTCGGTAGTGGGAGGTCCGCACCTGCATTCAATCGGTTTTTGGAGATCCACTTGTTCCTGTGGAAGACACTCGTTCGATTCGAGCCCGGGCCGTAGTCGCGGGATGATTGTTTTTATGCTCCGGCAAGCGAGCTTAAGTCTATTACTGTATTTAGACTAGTGAATCCAATGTATTAGTCTGCCACTTTCCGTCTTCGCGCCAGCAACTCATAAAGAACAGGAAGCTCTGGATCTTTTTTGAGGGAGACCAAGATTATTGCCTCATGGATAATCCTACCATGGACGCGGAGAAGAAGTGGACACTGTCGCGGCAGGATGTGGACATGGTCAAACAAATGCTGGAGCCCGATGAAGCTTTGGTTCAGCTAACTGCACAAACGACACTAGAGTGTAGCACGAGTATCGAATATCACGAATATTCGTGCCAAGCCATTCGCGAATTGCGAATATTCGTATTCGTGAATTGCTGTGGCTGTGCTATTCGCGCGAATGCGAATATCAGTTTTCAGGAAAGTTGATATTCGCGAATATTTGCAGCTGTAATACACAGCTAAAATTTCAATCAAGCATGGTAAATTTGGGTCTGTTTAACACATCTCCTCTCTGGAACCATAACACACTTCATTCACACCAAGTAGATCTGTAATTCATATGCAAACCAACCACTTGAGAGACATCTTTGCTTTGGCAACTGCATGACAGGTTGAACACAGCAAGTATGATGGTCCATCAAATGGTTGAACATGCAAGACAAGGGCTTGTATGAGTCTTCAACAATGTTTAAACTCACAGGATAACATAAAAGTGTCCTCAGCAACTCATTGGTGGCTACTAAACCCCTGAATTCTCAAGATATTCACTGAATATTCATATTCATGAATATTCGCGAATATTGCTGACTAAGCAATGAATATTCGCCATCAATATTCGTACGAATGCGAATATCAATTTTTAGGTTTCGGCGAATATTCATATTCGCGAATATATATTCGTGCTACACTCTAAACGACACCAGCCATAAGAATTGCCATGATTATCTGGCTGGTGATAACCTCGTCTGCTGTCCAAGATTTTCTTTCATATGAATCCATTGGGATAAATGGGATCTCCAAGGACGTGCAATTATCATTTGGGCCGACACCTATTCCGAGATCATGCGTTCCAAAAAGCGTCCCTCCGAGACCATTCCCACCGATGACGATGCAGTGGCAGCCTTCAAGTCCGCTATCACTTCAGGTTACCTCAACCTGGACCTCCTTAGGGTCATTGTTGCCATGGGGGTATAGGCCCTAGTGAGGTCCAGGATGTGGGTTCAAACCACGTCTGTGGGTGCAACCATCACACATGGTTGTACCCACTGACCTGTCACATCACACCTGTATGGGTGCACCCATGTGGAGCCAGGGCCAGCTCGTTTTTGCGATTCTGGAAGCCCCATGGAGGCCCTATGGTGGCCCTTTTGGGCCCCAGCTCCTGGTCATGGTACTCTACCTCCCAGGGCATGTATGTGATGTGTCTGCACTATGCTAGGCCCATGGCAGCACATACAGTGCACCCTCTCCCCAGCTCGATATTGTCAATTTCGGCAGCACCATGGGCTGCGTATGGCAGGCCCTCGCTGAGTGCAGCTATAGACAATGCTGTTCTGCCCTCTTCTACCTCATTTTGGTGCCCCTGCTTCTAGATCGGCATTGATACGCCCCTGGATGGCCTGCATGAATACCCTTGCTTTGGATCCCTTGCGATCAGCAGCATTGATACTCCCTACTGCTCCAGGATTGCTTGCGTTGCACTGATATACCGCTCCTGCTTCAGCATTGCTTGTGTCCATATGCAGGACAGCATGGATATACCACTCTGGCTTCAGCACTGCTTGCACTGATATACCGCTCCAGCCTCAGTGCGTCCATATGCAGGACGGCCCGCATTGCTTGCGTTGATATACCGCTCTGGCCTCAGTGCGTCCATATGCAGGACAGCCCACATTGCTTGCGTTGATATACTGCCCCGGCCTCAGTGCGTCCATATGCAGGACAGCCCACATTGCTTGCGCTGATATACCGCCCCACCTCAGTGCGTCCATATGCAGGATGGCCCCCATTGCTTGTGTTGATATACCGCCCCACCTCGGTGCGTCCATATCCAGGATGGCCCCCATTGCTTGCGTTGATATACCACTCCGGTTTCAGTGCGTCCATATCCAGGATGGCCTGCATTGATATACCCCTCCGGCTTCAGTGTGTCCATATGCAGGATGGCCCCCATTGCTTGCATTGATATACCGCTCCGGCTTCAGTGCGTCCATATCCAGGATGGCCTGCATTGATATACCCCTCTGGCTTCAGTGCGTCCATATCCAGGATGGCCCCCACGTCCATATGCAGGATGGCCCACATTGCTTGCGTTGATATACCGCCCCACCTCAGTGCGTCCATATGCAGGATGGCCCCCATTGCTTGCGTTGATATACCGCTCCGGCTTCAGTGCGTCCATATCCAGGATGGCCTGAATTGATATACCCCTCCGGCTTCAGTGCGTCCATATGCAAGATGGCCCCCATTGCTTGCGTTGATATACCGCCCCACCTCAGTGCGTCCATATGCAGGATGGCCCCCATTGCTTGTGTTGATATACTGCTCCAGCCTCAGTGCATCCATATCCAGGATGGCCTGCATTGATATACCACTCCGGCTTCAGTGTGTCCATACCCAGGATGGCCCACATTGATATACCACTCCGGCTTCAGTGCGTCCTTATCCAGGATGGCCCGCATTGATATACCCCTCCGGCTTCAGTGCATCCATATGCAGGATAGTCTGCATTGATATACCACTCCAGCTTCAGTGCGTCCATATCCAGGATGGCCCGCATTGATATACCACTCCAGCTTCAGTGCGTCCATATCCAGGATGGCCCGCATTGGTATACCGCTCCAGCCTCAGTGCCTCCATATGCAGGATGGCCCGCATTGCTTGCGTTGATATATCGCTCTGGCTTCAGTGCGTCCCCGCATTGATATACTGCTCCAGGATGACTGATATACCGTAATACATACTTACATGCTGGAGGGCCAAATTAAACACTATGGGTGGACCCCGAAGTAAGGGTCTGTGGGTGCATCCATACACCATTGTATGGATTCACCCATCTTGAAATTTTAGTGTGGACACACCCACCTCGCCAACATATGGTTGCATCCATACAATATGGGTATACCCATGTGGTTGCACCCAGATGACATGGGTATACCCGTGTGGGTGCATCCATGTCATCTGGGTGCAACCGCATGGGTATACCCATACCACATGGATGCACCCACATGGGTATACCCATACCGCATGGATGCACCCACATTACATGGGTACACCCATTTATTTATTTTCTAATAGTGGTTGCATCCATCCACGGTGGGTGTACCCACATATTGTTTTTTCCACATGCGGATACACCCACGCACAGATTTTTTCTTATGTGGGTACACCCACGTTATGGGTACACCCATCTATTTTATTTTTTATAATAGTGGTTGCATCCATCCACAGTGGGTGTACCCACATATTGTTTTTTCCACATGTGGGTACACCCACCCACAGATTTTTTCTACAAATCTGGGCATATCCACCTCCGTATTTGGTTCACATCGTGGTTACACCCACCGAGATGGATCTACCCACCGCTTTGTTTGGTTCCTTACATGGTTGCATCCATTCACGCCATGGGTGCACCCACAGTATGTGGGTGCATCCATATTTTATCTGCTTTCATTCATATTCCTTTTTTTTTCATTCATTTTGAATTTTACACATATTTACATGCTCTGTCTACCCGCGTGAGCCACAAAGTATGTCATATTTTTTTCCTATTTTTTTTCGCAGCCTAAGTCCGAACTTCCTTTTTGGGACCGTAGCGGTTGTTGTGTCTTGTTTACTTGGGGCGTCTGGCAGCCAAAAATTTTCATACTCCATTTCATTGGCAATGCATTTTATTCTGCGTACGCAACATGCTTCCAACAATATTTGATGTGCTCTCTTTTTTTCCTTTTTTTATTTCGCGCCGACCCAAGTCCCGACTTCCTTTTTGGGACCGTAGCGGTTGTTGTCGTTTATTTACTTCGGGCGTCTGGAGCGCGTTCAAGTCTTTCTTGCGGTCCTTTTCAGTAGCCAGTTGCCATATAATGTAGTATATATATGCTTGTATGTTACTTCATCATACATATGCGACGCGTTGCCTTGTTAAGATCATGGCCCAAGACCAACCCTCCGCTACGCCGGCGTCCAAATTAAGAAGGAGGCACTTCAATTGGAGTGCACAAGTCAGGCCGTATGGAGAACATCAAGGATACAGAAAAAGATAAGATTAGTATATGTAACAGTATAAGTCAAGCTGTACTATAAATCAAAGTCGAGCGAAC